GCCTGGCGCCCGAGGGGGGAGAGGTGATGAGGTCCCCGGGGTGCCGGGGGCTCTGGTGGGGCTCTGGCGAGGAGAGCAGCCCGGGGACGGCCCAGACCCCGCGGTGGCGCAGCCTCCCGCCATCTTTTCCCCTTGGGTTGCGCACCCACAGGGCCCGGTGCAAAGCTGTACGTCTTCCGGATGGATCCGAGAGGTCCCCAGACCGCCTCCCTTGGGCGGACGCAAGTGCTTATGGACGAGATGCTCCTCCGAGGCGTCGCTGAAGAAGTGGATCCTGAGCTCCGGCCGCGGGGCAGCTGTCCCTCGTTTCCATCTAGCGCTGGACCACGTCAGCGGCCAAAATGCAGGGCCACCGTACGGGGCCTGTGGAGGGGAGGGGATTTGAAGGAAGAAGGCTCATGGAGGATTTCCGTGGGAGATCCATCACCGAGCCGGGGAGAGGCACGAGCCTGGGTGGGAGGGAGGGTGAGCCCGGCGCAGAGCCGGGGGCGGCCGGCCGGGGCGTCCCGAGGTGAGGAGGCGTCGCCGGTGGGACCGGACAGGCAGGGACAGACCACAGCGACCTTCCAGAGCTGGTGGAAATTAGCCCAAGTTTAGCCTGGACAGTGGAGGTAAGAAAGTGGAGAAGAGAGGCGAAAGGGCTAAGGACAGGGGGAAAAAAAGGAAGGAAACAAGGGCTGGTTTTGTTTCTTTCTTCATCAAGGGAAACCTCATGTTCAGCCATGCCAGAAACGAGCCGGTGGGAGGAGAGGCACCAAGGGAAGCCTGGCAGACAGCGTCAAGGTGAATGGACAATGTCTTTATGCACCAACATCCTCAAAGTGAAAATGTTTAGGTGGAAAATATTTTGGTTTTAAAACCAGCAGCTACAGTTTCTGTTTTGCTGTGCAGTGTTAACCCAGAGTCCTCCGCTGACAGTACGTTTTGGTAAAACATCGGTGTGAAAATGACCAACATAGATGCCGGTGTTTGATATGGGTGAGCGAGCTATGTAAAAGCATGTCTTAGTCACACAGAGCATTTAAACTTGATTTACAAGGTAGAAAAGGAACATTTTCTCCATTCCCCAAACTGACACTTCCTCTGTGTAGTATTGCAAGGCAATTTAAAGGCAAATTATAAATACTGTTAGAATATTGTTGTTGAACTGGGTATCAGTAGTAGTTTTTGAAACACGGTGTTATTATTTTTCATCTCTCTTTTCATCAATATTGCAAAACAAAAAACAGGGAGATGTTTAGTGGTGATTGTAGGTTCAGTTCTGCTCCCACTGAAGTCAGCAGCCGTTGGGTTGCTGTAACGGGGCAGATTGCTGATGTGATGGCTTGCTTGGGGCGGGGGGACAGAGTTTACTGGAATGATTCCTACGCTGTGTTATTCATTAGTGGCAAAGCCCTACTCAAATTTTGCAGAGCACCTTGCA